TATCCCGCTAACCCCGCTTATATCCCACCATTGGCTCAACCTCAGGAACCTCCCACTGTGAACTCATCTCCAGCCTTTCCCCTCTGCCAACAATGCCAAGGAACCACTTCCCATACATCACAAGCTCCTCCACCCAAACAAGTCCCATACCCTCCTCCACCAGTCACTCCTGTTTTTGTGGCACCTCCACCTGCTACATTACACCGATCCTCCAGTGAACCTCTGTTCCAGACTCACGACAACCAGTATTATCCCCATAAACCCACCTTCAAAGTCCCAGAACCATATCCTTACACTCCTCATCTTGATATCCCAGCGGAGACCGAGAAACCGCCCAAAAATCCCGAGCATGAAAAGATGATCAGAAAGGTCAAAAACTTAGAGCAATCGTTCCGAGATATGAGGGGGTTAAAGGGACAAGAAAGTGTGGCCTACAAAGATTTATGTTTGTTCCCAGATGTTCAGTTGCCAGCGGGGTTCAAAATGCCCAAGTTTGATTTGTACGATGGGCATGTTGACCCAGTAGCATACTTAAGAGGATTTTATAGCAAAATGAGAGGAGCAGGTGGAAGAGATGAATTGCTGATGGCGTATTTCAGCCAAAGTTTGAGTGGGTCGACGCTAGAATGGTACACCAGACAAGATCATAGCAGGTGGTACAAATGGGACGATTTGGCCCAAGCCTTCGCCTGTCATTTTCAGTATAATCTCGAAATCATCCCAGATCGTCTATCATTGACAAAACTTGAGAAGAAGCCCGGTGAGAGTTTCAGGGAATATGGATTCCGTTAGAGAGAGCAAGCGGCGAGGGTTAACCCTCCGATGAAAGAAAGCGAGATGGTTGATTATTTCTTGCAGGCTTTGGAACCCACTTATTTTGGTCATTTGGTGTCAGTAGTGGGCAAGTCCTTTAATGAAGTTGTGAAAATGGGAGACATGGTTAAGGAGGGACTCAAGTCCAATAAGATCATGAGTTATTCAGCAATCAAAGCAACCACTCAGGCCATTCAAAACGGTATTGGGGGTGTGCTCGGAAAGAAGAAGAAAGAGGATATTGCAACGATCGAGTCGACAGCTTGGGGTAGATCCAGGAACCTTCCACCGTTCTACAACCAGCCTCGACCATATCCCCAAACATAACCCCACACTCCATATGGCCCACAAAAACACTACTACCCACCGCCAGATCCCCATTTTTCTGTCTATCACGCACAAACCTATAACCAACCTCCCGCTCACGCACAATGGCATGCGCCGGCTCCACAGAGTCCCTACCAAGCTCTACAAAATACCCATCCACCCCCAAAAGCCTACAAAAACCCTCATGGAACAGGTTTTCAACCCAATCAAGCCTTTAAGAATGAGAGGTTGTAGAAGCAGAAGACTTTCACTTCATTGGGAGAATCATATACCAGCCTATTCCACAGACTATGACAGTTGGGTATGTTGAATCCGATCGAGGCCAAAATGCTGAATCCCCTTCCCAGAAATCTTGATCGCTCGGTGAGTTGTGAGTATTGTTCAGGGGCCTCGGGCCATGACATAGAGAAATGCTGGAAACTGAAAACAGTTGTACAAGAGCTCATTGATACTCATTGGATCGAGGTTCAGGCCCCAAAAGCACCAAATATCAACCAGAATCCGCTGCCATCTCACCATGAAACCCATATGATTAAGTTGATACACAAGAGAGGGGAGGCTAAGAAACCCTCGCATACGGTAATGATGATCCACTCCAGTGAAACTAGTTCAAAGAAAAAGGTAACCAGTGGGAAATCGATGGTCCAGTTGAAAGGGGTAGACAATAAGCCAGCTGTGGTAGACGGGAAAGGGTCGTCAAGCACTGTCACAGTGAAACCAGAGAAAGCTAAAATGGTGGTACTAGGGATTATAAGTAAACCTATTGTGGTCGTGAAGGGTGCTCGCACAGAGCCTGTTGTTATCAAACCGACAACTCAATTACCGATAGTTGACAGCAAGGCAGTCCCGTGGAATTATGAACGAGTGACAGTAACTTACCAGGGGAAAGAGGTTAAAGAAGAAGTGTGTGAGGCCCATGGTTTAACTCGATCGGGGAGATGCTTTGCCCCCGAAGAGTTGAGGAAAGTTAAGACTTCAAAAGTTAACCCAGTGTTGGTGAAGAAAGCGGTTATTGAGGAAGAAACAGAAGAATTTCTGAGAAAGATGAAAGTGCAAGACTATTCCATTGTGGAGCAGTTAAGGAAGACACCAGCTCAGATCTCGCTCTTGTCATTATTGATCCATTCAGACGAACATCGTCGTGCTTTGATGAAGATCTTGAATGAAGCCCACATTCCTGACAAAATCTCAGTAAACCACTTGGAAAAGATAGCTAATAAGATATTTGAGGTAAACCGAGTCACTTTTTTTGATGATGAGTTACCCATGGAGGGTACCGAGCACAATAGAGCCCTCTATCTAACGGTGAAATGCGAAGATTCTGTGGTTACTCGGGTACTGGTTGACAATGGGTCCAGCGCGAACATTTGTCCTCTGTCCACCTTGAACAAGCTGCAAGTGGAGGATGAAAGAATTCACAAGAACAATATTTGCGTTCAGGGGTTCAACGGTGGGGGTAAGGATTCAATCGGGGACATAGTGCTTGAGCTCACAATAGGGCCAGTTGAATTTACTATGGAATTCCAGGTGCTCAATGTAGCTGTTTCGTACAATCTGTTGTTGGGATGACCCTGGATCCATGTGGCCGAATCAGTCCCGTCTACTCTGCATCAATTAGTCAAGTTTGAATGGGATCGATAGGAAATTATTGAACACGACGAAGATAATTTGTGTGTGCCCAACGGTGCCATTGTTCCGTTCATAGAGGTTGACGATGACAAGGGACCATGGGTTTATCAGGTTTCCGACACAGTATCGGTAGAGAAAATTCCGGAAGTAAAGTGCGTGCCAACTCCAAAGATGGCTGCAACATCACTTATGGTGGCTGTTGAAATGTTGAAAAATGGTTTCGTACCGGGCAAGAGATTGGGTGTGTCTCTGCAAGGTATTGTGTAGCCAGTTTCTCTTCCAAAGAATTTGGATACTTTTGGTCTGGGGTTCAAGCCTACCGTTGCAGACGTGAGAAGAGCTAGAAAAATGAAGCAGAAAGCATGGACATGCCAAAGCTAATCCTGCGTCTGTCCAGATCATTCGTCAGGCCGGGTATCAGGAAGCAACTGTTGTCAAAGGTCCCTGGACAACTGATTGGTGCCGATGGAGACTTGGAGAAGGGGTTTGAAAGGTTATTCTCCGAGGTTAACATGGTTCAGGCTGGGGAAGGGTCAAGCAAGGCAGATGTGCAATTCGTGGGACCACGTGCAAAAATCAACAACTGGGAAGCTACTCCTCTTCCTACCCGAAGGGAGTCTTAGTAGTGGGTTTTGATTTTCTTTTAGTTGTTTGGATTATTCCAGGGTCTGTAATTCAGATATTTTGTTCCGTCCAGTTGGATGTGTTAAATCCCTGTTATCTTTATATTCAATGAAATGCAATTGTTCCTTTTCCTTCATTTCTTCTAATTTTATTTTTGTTTTCCTCTTTTGTATAGTTTTTTTATGCTGATATCAATGACATGACATGCAAGAGGAATCTTCGGCCCAGTTTTAAAGGCCAATCTAACTCTGAAATAATAATGCAAGAAATTGAGTGTGATGACGAGTTGGAATTTGAGGATGATGAGGCCTATGAAGAAATTAGTAAAGAATTAAGTCATTTTGAGGAAAAGCCCAAACCTAATTTGAACGATACAGAAGTAGTTATTCTAGGGGACCAAGATAATGTTCGTGAAACTAAAGTAAGCGTCCATCTGGAACCTCAACTCAGGGAGGAGATAATTAAAGCTCTATTCGAATACAAAGATGTTTTTGCATTGTCCTATGACGACATGCCGGGTCTAAGCACTGATTTAGTGGTATACAAGTTGCCCACTGACCCGGCATTCCCCCCTGTCAAACAGAAGCTGAGAAAAAAGTTCAAAACGGATATGAGTGTAAAGATCAAAGAAGAGGTCACCAAGCAGTTCGGTGCCAAAGTCATTCGGGTCACCCGGTATCCCACTTAGTTAGCCAATGTTGTGACCGTGCCGGAGAAGGATGGCAAGATCAGGGTGTGTGTCGATTATCGGGATCTCAACAAGGCGAGCCCAAAAGATAATTTCCCATTGCCGAACATCCATATCTTGATTGATAATTGCGCCAAACATGAGATTGGCTCTTTGTGGATTGCTATGCCGGTTATCATCAGATCTTAATGGATGAGAAAGATGCAGAAAAGATGGCATTCATACGCCGTGGGGAACGTACTGCTATCGGGTCATGCTATTTGGCTTGAAGAATGCTGGGGCAACATACATGAGGGCAATGACAACAATACTCCATGATATGATACACCAGGAAATTGAGGTGTACGTGGATAACGTGATCATGAAGTCTAGAAAGCAGTCTGACCATGTCAGGGATCTGAAGAAGTTCTTCCGAAGGTTTCGTAGGTACAATCTCAAGCTTAATCCTGCAAAGTGTGCTTTTGGGGTGCCATATGGAAAGTTGTTGGGGTTCGTAGTCAACCGTCGAGGCATTGAATTGGACCCATCAAAAATCAAGGCCATCCAGGAATTTCCACCTCCGAGGAACAAGACCGAGGTGATGAGTTTGTTGGGAAGATTGAATTATATCAGCAGGTTCATCGCTCAGCTCACGACAACTTGCGAGCCAATCTTCAAACTGTTAAAAAAGGATGTTGCGGTCAAGTGGACAGATGAATGTCAGGAGGCGTTTGATAAGATAAAGGGGTATTTGTCAAATCCACCCGTGTTGGTCCCGCCAGAACTAGGGTGACCTTTGATTCTATATTTGACGGTATTGGACAATTCATTCGGCTATGTATTGGGTCAACATGATATCACTGGCAGGAAGGAGCAGGCCATATATTATCTCAGCAAGAAATTCACAACGTACGAGGTCAAGTACACTCATCTTGAAAGGACATGTTGCGCCCTAACTTGGGTGGCGCAGAAGCTGAAACATTATTTGTCATCTTACACTACCTATCTCATATCTCGCTTGGATCCCTTGAAGTATATATTTCAGAAGCCTATGCCCACAGGGAGGCCTGCAAAGTGGCAGATCCTGCTCACAGAGTTTGACATTGTCTAAGTGACTCGAACTGCAATGAAAGCACAGGCCTTGGCAGACCATATGGCCTAGAATCCGGTTGATAAAGATTATGAACCTCTGAAAACTTATTTCCCCGATGAAGAGGTGATGCACATTGATGAGTTGGAGCAAGTTGAGAAGCCGGGATGGAAACTTTTCTTTGATGGGGCTGCAAACATGAAGGGCGTGGGGATATGAGCAGTACTTATTTCTGAAACAGGGTAGCACTACCTTGTTACGGCTCAACTTCGTTTTTACTATACCAACAACATGGCGGAATACGAGGCCTGCATTCTGGGTTTCAGGTTAGCTGTGGATATGGGTGTCTAGGAAGTCTTGGTCTTGGGTGACTCAGACCTCTTGGTGCACCAGATTCAGGGAGAATGAGAAACACGGGATTTGAAAATCATACCGTACAGACAATGTTTGCATGATCTTTGTCAACGGTTTCAGTCGATAGAATTCAAGCATATCCCAAGGATCCATAATGAAGTCACCGATGCTTTGGCTACTCTGGCATCAATGTTACATCATCCAGATAAGGCTTATGTGGACCCTTTGCAGATTCAGGTCCGTGATCAGCATGCTTACTGTAATATGGTGGAAGAAGAACTTGATAGGGAGCCATGGTTCCATGATATCAAAGAATACATCAGGATAGGGAATACCCGGTACAGGCCATAGGTGATCAGAAAATAACAATTCGACGATTGATAAGTGGATTTTTATTCAGTGGAGGGGTATTGTACAAAAGAACTCCAGATCTGGGATTGCTAAGATGCATAGATGCTANGCCATTTGCATTGCTGGGCTATCGCACTACTGTCCGTACTTCAGTAGGAGCCACCCCTTATTTGTTGGTATATGGAACGGAGGCAGTAATACCCGCAGAAATGGAAATCCCATCCCTTCGGATTGTCGCTGAGGCAGAAATTGATGATGTTGAATGGGTCAAAACCCGTTTAGAGCAATTAAGTCTAATTGATGAAAAGAGATTGGCAGCAGTGTGTCACGGCCAATTGTACCAACAGAGAATAGCGAGAGCATATAACACGAAGGTACGTCCACGGAAGCTCGAAGTGGGTCAATTAGTGTTGAGACGTATCTTGCCTTATCAGGCTGAAGCAAAAGGAAAGTTCGCCCCAAACTGGCAGGGGACATTTGTTGTAACTAGAGTGTTTTCCAATGGCACATTGTATTTGACAGATATAGAGGGCAAATGTGTAGAAATGACTATCAATTCCGATGCAGTCAAAAGATACTATGTATGATTTCTTTCTTTGATTGTACTTGTTTGTATTTGGCATATTTTGAAGATTGAAATGACGAAGGCATTTTGTTCTGCTATTTAAACACTTTATCCCTTGTCATCCCTTTTGAGTCTTATTTATTTTCTTTCATACCCCTCTTTCGGGATCAACGACACAATTCAGAAACGCAAGTGCGGAGGATAAGTAAGTGAAAAGAAAAAGAAAGAATCAACAAGAAAGGAAAAGGAGAAGAAAAATGAAAAGAGAGAAGAAAGAGAAAGAAAAGAAAAGAAAAGAGAAAAGCAAAAAGAAAAAAAGAGGAAAGAAAAAAAAAAGAACAATAGAAGAAAAAAGAGAGAGAGAAAATAAAAATCACAACAACAAAGTAATTTCTATGACATGAACTACATTCGACCTGATTCCTTTTAAGGATACATAGGCAGCCTCACGGTTCGGTCCCATCAAAACAAAACTCCAAAAGTCCCCATGCAAGAAACTAGGGCAGAAGTTGCGGTTGTTGTAAGAAACTTGATTCCGAAAGTTGTAATTCTAACCTGTTTGAATCGTTTTGAGCCTTTCATAACCTTTCTTTCTAACTCTGTCCAAAAGCCCACATTACGATCCAAAGAAAGACCTTCTGATCAGTCTTTGAGAAATGCCAAGTCGAGCAGGTCAAGGTAATTCATGTCAGGGGCAACACTTTGGTTCAATCAGGAAATATAAAAATGAGAGAGTCTTATTGGTGAAAACCTTCACAGGCACCGTAAGGCGACGGGAGCTGAGAGAAATAAAAATGAGAGAGTCTTATTGGTGAAAACCCTCACGGGAACCTTGAGGCGAAAGTGAGTTGAGAAGGGAAATGAGAAAGGTCTGTTGGTGGAAAACTGTTTCAAGGCACCGCAGGATGAACAAGGTCAAGGTTTGGGCGAAGTAATCAGATCATGGAAATTCTGAGGCAACAAAGTACGGCAACTGAAAGTTGATGGGTTGGACAGATTGGGCCGATTAATCCGAAATGCATGTCATGATCATCGGTACCAGCTGTTCCACTCAGATAAGTTTCTTTTTATTTTTCCTTTTGTAGCAATCATCTGGTTTTGGATTCTTCTTATCCTTAACCCGCAAAGTCATTACGTTTCATTTTCTTTGGGTTTATTTGTCTAAGATGTTTCAATGTCAGTCTTGTCAAAGCAAGTGAAAAGGATTTCAAAGCTCACTACCAACTTCCAAAATTGCAAATCACGGAGTGGTCAGAGCATACTAAGGACAACATGATGAACGGGGGGTACAAGGATTCACCGGAAGTTTCATCGGTAGAATGGTTGGTGATGTCATGGGAGACGCAAAGGTTCAGATAAAGGGGTCAGAGGCAAAACAACAACATGGGTATAGAACACTCGGTTCATCAAAGGTCATGGGGTTTGAAAGTCAGTCAGAAAGTCAAAGTGGTTCAGGGCATATTCGAGGAAGCCAGTCAGAACAAAACAATGCAGCGGAAAGATCTTCAGTAAGAATGCCATCATCTAACCACCATTTTTAAACTAACAAAATTTTTCTTTGATTAAAACAAGGGCAAGAAATTTCGATTGTTTCGGAGAAACACT